ACTTTATAAGCCCCCATGCAAATATTAATACTTCTATAATTTTTGTTTTGCTTGAAGAACCATCCACTATTTATGGAACCAATTCCAAATTTCCTATTCTGGCTTTCAGAACCATGAAGAGGTAAGTTCAGCCCATCGTGGCATTCTCGTCACTGATCTGTGTATGGATGCTTATCCCTGTCTTTACATTTTCAAGCTTGCTGATTCCCCAAACCTTTCTCCAAGTCAAGGCTCATTTTGTGCCCTGCCTGCTCCAAGCAGCCTTCTCAGATAATGCCAGTCTAGTGCGTACTGATCTCTTTCCTTTCTGATTCTGAACTCCCATATCCTTTTCAAAGACAAGTAATTCTTGCCAATTTGACTATAAATACCTTGAGGGCAGGCACCATGTCTTATTTTGAGTGTATCTTATGTCTCCCCAACATTGCAAGAGGTCCTTGAGGTAGATGCAGTGGCTAGTGAGTTTTCTGTCTTCCCCCCAGAGTCTTGCCCCAGTCTGGGCACATACTCAGCCTACAGGAACACTTGTGGATTTGTTTTAGATGTGCACAGCATCTGCTTGAGTGTTCAGCACACAGTGAGCACTCCATAAATTGTATTTTTAGAGACAATCTGTTACCACATAAGGACTACCAGAAATTACTCATACTCTTTGTGTAAGTGAATTTATACAATTATTATATTTAAGAGCTGAAATAAGGATGAGGGAAAAAATCATGAGGGCTGTTTTTAAGCAAAAGGGAACGTCAGAACTTTTAGCCAAAATGTGTTCACTGATGTGTCACTGAACAGGTGTGAGGTTTGTTGAAAATAATTTGTTATTAATGATAATATGTCAAGTTTGAAAATGATTTACTATTTTCAATGAATTAGGTGGATTCCAGTTTTCTCCAGTGATAAGCTCATTTTCATTAAATTGTTGTTTTTTTGTTTGTTTGTTTTTTGAGTGGGAAAGCTAAATCTAGCTACTTTCTTTATCCAATGAGAAACAGGCTCAGAGAAAAAAAGGAACTGGTCCAGTGTCACACAGAAAGTTAGCAGAAGTATGGAGGCTAAATCGCCAGGTCTTCTTCTCCTTTGTTGGATGATCCACCCACTGTCCTCAGATCCTCCTCAGTCAGCAAATAAAAACCAGTGTGATTTTAGAACAAAGCAAAACAGAACCCAGTAAAATTCAAAATTGTATTCACAAAGTGAAAATATTTGTCTCCTGGTCAGGGATCAAAGTTTGGGAAAGAATTTTCTTGAAGAGGCATGGCAAGAGGAATTTGTAAAACTCCCTATTTCCTGGCCTTCTCTTATAAATCATTTGAGAAAGCACATATTTACCCCTCTCTTTATAAGACTTTACCTTGTACAAATATTCATCCTTGTATATTTGATTTTGCTCTAGAGGACAACTCAGAAAGTTCCATTGAAAAATAAACTGCACCAATACATACAGAGCTTCCCTTCATTTTAGTCTGTAAGAGCAGAAGAATTAGCTTATTCTTAAAATTTCAGAACAATTGAGCTCTTTTCATAGTAGAACTGAACAACTTCCTGATGAATTTGCACAGAATAAAATCTGAATACATGCAATTCAAAATTAATGAGGTTCTTTCAAGAAACCTCTCCCATAAATTACCGATTATTGCTTGAAATGTATTTGCTTTTCAGAGGTCAACATAGCAAATAAAATGTTTTGTTTTAAAACTTCAAGTTAAATATTTGAAATATAATCACACTATAAGTCTTTAGTATTTCAATGCATCCTTTTAAATTTATTTTTTAAGATGGTGGTTTGGACAAGGGTAACTTACATTTCCTTGTTCACAACCTTTTGTAACATGACAGAAGAAAACACACAGCAAACTGTTGCTGGATTTTTATTTCATTTACTAATGCTTTTAATAAGCCCCTCAGAAACCTCTGGAAAGCAGATAAACTTTTTGAATAGATGCTTTTTTCCTCTTTTCCACTCTTGCAAAATATCATGTTAGTTAAATATTGCAAGATTGAGGACTTTATTCCTTTCTTTCCAGTTAAAATTTATTTGACTAGATAGACATACATTGGTGTAGCAATAAAACTATGCTTAAAGTTTATCAGGAAGAGGCCAAACACCACTTGTCAATTAAGAGCTTTGCTCACTGGAATGAATCATTGAATTTCTGAAGCTCAACTGAGTTGTCCAAAGGTCCATCAGTTTTCCTGATGATAAGAAACTTGGCAGTGTTGGCTCAAAGGGTGGGATGATGAAAAACACTAAATGGGAAAAATACTATTTTCCCTGAAATGTGATCATGTGATCTTCCGAAATAGATTCCTAGTTTAATTTGCTTAAGTATCACACAGAATAAATTAATTCATCAACAAAAAGACAACTCCTCTGAAAAATAGATAAATGGAAAACACAGCACACCTTCCCAGCAAAAACCAGTAGGATGTTGTGATTTACAAAGAATTAAAAAATATAGTTTAATTTTTTTAAGTGAAGTTTAGGAAGGGTGATTAACCTAAGACAAATGGTGCATTTGAATTCTGTAGAAATAAAATGAGTATAGCTAAATAGAAGACTGAAAAGAAAAGGAATATAAGGGGGTTTAAATAATTTTAATTGTTATTATCAAATAATAATTGTCTCAAAGCCTGATTTTGTTTTGTGTGAAGCAGCCATTCCCAAAGCAGCCTAGAATCATAGAGTACCAAAGATGGATGTGTCCATGGAGTTTATCTAGTCCAAAACCATTCCCAGATGGGGAATCTGAGACCCAATGATAACCATTACTTGTCCTCATAGCTTTATAGCCACACTAAGATGAAAGCCTCATAACCTACGACTCTACACCATAAAATAACACCTGTAGGTTCTAATTTTGTGTAAATTAGACCTTATGAAACAACCGTGTTCTGACAGAAATACAATTTAATATGCTCTTGAACCCAAAGAATTTCCCTCCTATAAGGAAGACTTAAGAAACAATCAAATAAAGACACAGAACTATAGGAAGAACTGAATGATAATCTCTGAAAGATTTCATCATTCAAGCTTATCAGGAGATACATTTTCTCTCAAGTCAGAATGTCCCAATTCCAAAAATCAATAAAAAGGTAATCTCACAGTTCAGCAATAAAGCTACTTTTAACTCTAGAATGAGATCATTGAGTTCAATGGACAGACTCAAGTACCACTTAAAATCGGGCCTGCTCGAATAAAATAAATTTTAGATCTTGACTGTGTTACCATACCTCTCTGCCATCCTCATGGAGTATGTCTCTGTATGTGCGTCTCATAAGTTCTGAAAATTTTCAAACTAAATATGTGTTTAAGACTTCCTGAAACAGTTAATAATCCATTGTAATTATGCTTTGAACTTAGATCTTCCAGTTTTCAACCATTTCTTCAGTGTGTGTATGAGAACCAAGCCTCATCCATCCATCCATTCACTCATTAAAGAAATATTAAGTAGAGAGTTAGGTATTACGCTCCAAAACACTGTCAAGGTGTTGACAATATGAAAGTAAAAGAAGCTTAAGAAGTGAGGAATTTGACAGAGGATTATCCAGAGTAGAGTCCTCTCACCAAGCCTGTCTGCCTAACAGTTACTTTGTGAGCAGGAAGTTATCTTAGATTGAATGTTGTGGCCCACATTCTGTCAAGATCAAAATGTCCAAAAATGTCAGATTACAACCCGACAGACAACTAGCTCAAATATTATTTATGGTAAATGTTGATAACAAACATAAAATAATATTTTAAAATAAAATTTCAAAAATGATATATAATTAATTACAAAGCAACTGCCCAGGGAAATGTGATCAGGTATATTTTCAGTCCCCATTCAGAAATGACAAAATCTATTTTGATGCTCTCTTTCCAGTATCAACACATCATGAATTTAATATTTTACATTATATGTGTTTGGAATAGAGAGCTGTACATTACTTTTATTCCCATTTCGTCCCAGCTGATTTTTTTAAAGAATCTAGCACTAAATCTCATCCTTTAACAAAACACTTTAACATGTGGCTGTACTAATGGTTTCAGCTACCCTATGCAGGCTACATGAATAAACTGAATATATTTGCAATCTTAAGAGATGAGAGTTTGTTTTAAGTCTTCATGTTCAACATAGGAATCTCAAATCCTTTATTGGTTATAATTTGTGAATGGAGCATGCCTGGCAGGGATATATCCTAATGTTTAATCAAACACAAATAGTCAAAGAAGTTACTTTGCCAAAATATCACTATAATCACAGGAAGAAACGAATCCACTCTCTTTTTCTCTCTCACATTGTGTGTTCTAACTCTAGGAATATTGTGATAGCACTTTCATCAACAAACTCATAATTTATCTTCCTTGCATTTACATGTCAGTCTGTTTCTTATTTTATAAAATAAAAATTTATTATATCAATCGTTTATGGTACTGGACAGAATTTTATAATTAAAAAAAGTTGGCTTTCGTGTGGATGTGTGTATAGTCGGGAGATAGGGAATCAGTAGACTTTCAATTCTTATAGAGACATCTCTATTTGAATTTTTTGTTGTAATTTTAAAGTCTGATAATAAATGATGTTTCTTCAATATCCTTTATTCAGCTTATGTGTTTTTAAAAGCTCATTTTACTTAATCAAGTAAATTATAATCACATAAAGAATCCAAACCTTAATTTGTAAGCATACCAAGGCAAAGAGGACAGTTCCCACAATATTTTGTCATTATTTCCTCTTCATAGTCTGAAGAGTTTTTCTGATTTAAATATTCATTTTTAGTAAATATGTATTTATTAACTGAAACCTAGCTATAGCATAAAATGACTGTGTAAACAGTTTATCCAATAAAACACGATATCATTTGATCCTCAGCCTCTCAAAGTGCTGCGATTACAGGCATGAGCCACCATGCCCGGCACATTTCCAATATGTCATTTAGCCTGTTTACAGCCCAAAATATGACATCTATTTTTTGAAACAGTGTCACTATTTGGCACAGAAGTGTATTTACACGAGAGCTTGTTTCATTTGCCATTTATTTCAATAACTTGAGAACAATTATTTGCAACTATATCTAACAGCATTTGTACAAGTAGTTTCAAGCTAAAATACTGCTAAAAAATTCCAACACACATGCAGTTCAATATGTTTACATAACATATATTTATTATAAAACCTGTGACTCTAAGCACTTTATAGAACATGAATACAGGAGTCACTCTACCCTCTACTAAAACACGGCCACGTCTGAGAGAGGAGACACTGCTGAGCAGAAGAGTCCTGTGTTCAATTGAGTTGAAATAGGTTGTACTCGCACTGTTCAGGAATGCTACTGTGCCATCATAGAATCTCTCGATAGCTCAATGCACACCAAACTGCAGCAGACTTTCAAATATAAGCCCTTAGCAACCAACAAACTCGTAGCACAAGCAGCCTGGGCAAAACACATTCTTATTACACATGTGGGCTCTGTTTTAAGCAAAGTCGATATTGAAAATCCAAACATACAAAACAGATAAATTAGAGAATGATTATTTGTATTATAAAATGGTTTTATACTTTATAAAAGGATTCACAAGTTTCCTTTAAATGGCAGCTTCCTTAATGCATAAAATACAGTTTGACTTACAAAACTTCAATTTAAACATGACTTTTTCACAACCATTGTGAGAAGCAAAGTACATCTATATACAGTATTTAATTTTCTCTCAGGATTAAGGTAAGTGTCATCATTGTCTTGGTAGAAGACACTTAAGCCAAAATATTATTTTCAAGCCACTGAAATATAAAGTAAATAGTGCCTCTAAAACATGGTTATTTCAGAAAATGTAAGTACATTTGTGGTTTTGTATTTACAGCCTTGGTAGTCATCTTTACAAAGTAGATCTTTAGATAGCACAAGTATATAGCTATCTTCAGGCCATAATATTGGGCCATGTTCTGCAGAAATTCATTTTATTTTATTTCTTCTTTTAGAGATGTTAATAGTGGTTACACTGTCACTAGACTATGACATATCAGTTTTATACTTTACTGCACAGAATTACCTTTAAAAATTTAACCTCTTGTGTGGCGTTACTGTTTCTCCTGTTTACTTTGGGTGATTGTCATTTAGGTAAGGTTCTCCTTTATTAACACTAAGCTCCTTACCAGGTGAGGGTGGATGGTAGGGACTAGGGTTGGAGGTGAAGGGATGGGGTTAGGAGGATAGAGATCCTGACCACCGTATCTCTGTGCCCCCCTCGGCACACTGTCTAGAGCTTGGCACTTAAGAAGCAAGCATTCAATAACTATTTATTGAATGAATAAATGAAGAAACAAATAGATTGGGAGGGTTGTCTGGAAGGCTCTCTTCACTTTAGCATACAATCCAGTATGTTTCTGGAGCAGGTACAATCAAAATGAATTTTCAGAATCTGAAAAATCACAGAACCTCTCTCTCACTCCTTACACACTTTTTGCAAAATTCATAAAATATCGAGCCCTTGAAGACTTGGAAACATTTAGAAAAATTAAGTCACCTTAGAGGTCAGAGGACAAAGAAGAGGAAATTGAAGGGTCATTTCCTTACTCACCAATTACTGGAGAGGACTAACAAGGCACACAGGTTGACCAAAGTCCAGAACCTATTGTGTCCAGACTGAGGAGTGGTACTTTTGAGTGTTTCAATACAAATTTAACCACAGGTATATTCAGAAACGGTGAAATGAACTAATTAAGAGCTATAATATAAGGGAATTACCATTTGCCATTTGTAGGGCCAGACATACAGATCTGTTCCAGGCAGGGCCCTGGGAGACCGCATTCTGTAGGTTGGAGTCATTTCGCTGTGCTGATGCTCACACCCCTTACAAGCTGTATGTGAAATAAAAGTGAAATAGCAAAATCCAGCTGTGGGAGATAAAAATAAAAAATCCTAAAATAAAATATGTTTGAAAATGCTTGAGCAGAAAAAGCAAAACAGAATATAGTTAGTGAAGATGTTAGTAAGTTAATAAAACGTAACGTGTTTATGATTGCATTAGAAAATAAAGCTTAAAAGTATATGGTGTATTAGGCTTTTAAATAAAATAGTCTAGGCCACATTCAAATGATTTCATCTCAAAATCGAATGCAAATAAAGTACAAATCTAGAAAGCATGAGAATATGGAATTAAACTGTAACTATTAGGCAAAAGAGTTCATGAATTTGAGTTCTTCCAAGAGGCCTGTTTAAAATCATGTAACTAAATGAATATCAAGATATCTTTTGTAAGCTTAATGAATTATTTTTTTTTATGGACAATAGCATTTTACAGGAGTGACTTTACTTTCAGGAGAATAAGAACAAACACCAAAGTGTAATCACAACATCAATAGCTCTAGCCGTGTAGTTTAAGCCCAAAAACTGTTCAACAGAATATATATGCTAATTTGCCTTCATAATCACTTCCCAAAATACCTACCTCTGTATTCTGTATTTATCATTGCACCAAATAAGAACATCCAGAAGAGGATTTTTGAAACTATTTTATGCATAAATACTTCACTCAAAGACAAAGTGGTTTCCAGGAGCCACCTCCAAGTTCAGCAAGCATAATAGTCTATCTCATCTTGTGTGAAGTATAAAATCTCTATACATTAAGTTTCCTGTAGATCATTTCAGCCTACCATTGCAACTTTGATCTAAAGGATCAAAGAATCATAAATAGGAATTATGATCTCTAACCAAAGAGTAAACATGTTGTTAGCTTGCAATGTAGATATTCTGAGATTTTTAGATTGTTAAAGGGACATTTTTTTCCTGAATGCCTTTTACATTTTTATATACACAATTACCTTCTTTTGTTTTCTTTTAAAAAAAAAATAACCATTTCCCACTATTATTTATTAACCCAAATAATTTGGATGTAAGTAATTTCTAATTGAAAGTCTATCACATGAATTGGTTATAATGACAGACAATACACTATTAGTCATTTTAAAGCTTTAAAAGTAAGTTATCAGGATCCACTTCAATCTCCACATGATAATAAAGGATTATTATGTGCAGTAACCTATTTATGAAAAGGAAACAGTGTGCTTCTTTCAGACGCCATCACTTGCTTTAATAAGGAATTGAAAAGCTGGACTACTTTATATGCAGATCACCATTCCAGTTGCATAAGGATTTACAATAGACAAAACAAAACTATTTTTTGTTGTAAAGAAGGGCTGTTTGTTTAAATCACACAATAATATCTGCATCTAAAAATTATTTACAGGCTAATAAGGCTTCATAAATGTTATATAAACTTGGTTAGTTAAAACCACTTTAATGCGAAGACCAAAATTAAAGTCTTGCGCAAGCTGACAAGAAAATATTCAAGTAACACATGCCTAAAAAAGACAGAAGGAAAAAAGATGCTCATTGTCTTGGTTTAGGTAAATTAATCAGCTTGGAAATGCAAATAGTATATGATTTGACAGCACACCGTTAACGCTTCAATTAAACTCAAAAGGAAAATGTTTCTTTGTCCGAAAATGTGAAAATTTAGAAAGCTTCTTAGTCTAACCTTTGATCCTAAAAGAAATAGAAAGTAACGTATACATTTTTCTCTCTGCTGCCTTGAATTTGCAGAGAACTTACTTGGGAAGTTTTAATCTCACCTTTGAAGTCTTTCTTCAAGGTATTTCATGGCTCATATGTCTTTGTTAAATGAGGTGTGTGGCGGCCTCTACTGGTGTATGTTTATAGAAAATGTTTCAATAGGCAGAAAAAATATTAATTTCAATTAAAAAGTTAGAAATACAGGCTCTTTCATTTAAATATATAAAAATATCTAATTTAATGCAGAAAAAATATATTACAACTTGTGTAATGTACTCTTAATTAGGAAAATAATCTAAAACACTGACCATGTTAGTGGAAAATAATGATTTACGGAAGGGTATTAATTGTTCAATTCACTCTGATTTGGGGTTAAATATATTTTATTAATGAATTATTAATCCCAACTGAGGCGGCTTATTACCTCTAGTCCACTGTTAAATCCCCTTAGTTGACTTAAATAAAATCACTCAAAACAAACCCAGAGGAAAGAAAATATTTTACAGTTACGTCTACAAAGTCCTAGAACTAGAATCATTTGATGACAGGCTGGTTTCTATAACTCAAGCACACTGTAAGTTGACTTAATATAGCTGACACATTGATCTATTTTACAGTGTTTTCAATTTCAAAAATACAACACATTAAAATATGTTCAATTTATCAAAGCTAAAAGCAACATTTAAGTGATGTACTTAAAGTGCGAAGGCACTTTAACACAAAGAATTGATGCCCAGTGGCTATACTTGGCAACTGAAGACGGAAATACCATATATCATTATTTACAAAAGAAGTTATAGTCCCAAAAGATCTTTGGAGATCTTCTACAAAATACACTAAATATCCATTTTCATTTGAACAGTTTGCCTATTGTTTCTTCATTCACTATAATCTCCTCTTTCCACTCCCACACTGGAAAAAAGAAGAAACAAAAGAAACAAAAACATAAGCAAAATATATGAAGAAATGCACTGTTGAAACATTCATGTTCGCTGATGGTTCCTAAGAAGAAAAGGAAAAAAAAAGGAGGGGAGGAGAACGAGAGAGAAATAATTTAAAGGAAAACTTGCAAAAGCAATATCATTGCTTCATCCCATCTCCCAAACATTTTCAAAGTCCCCCATTAATGCTGGGAAAGAGAGAACAAACACAAAAGTGAATGCCATGCTTCCAACAGTTTGGAGCAGCATCCTTTGATGCCATGGGGTTGTAAATGATTTCCCTTCACAGCTGACTGATTGCAGTTTGTTTTTCCAGAACTTCGAGGTAGTCTGGTTCTGATTGCGGCTTAGCTTGCAGTAAAGGGTGGTCGGGCTTTGACTGCCCCACAAAGCATTTCCTGGGAGTTCCATATAAAACGGTTTTATTGATTCTGTCTTGATTTTGGCGTCGAGATTCATATGAAGGGGCGAACTGCCTTTTAGGTAAGGTACAAAAGTTATAGTGAACTAGGCCTGCACTGGGGAGTTCCTTGGCTCGCTCAGCAATATTTTGATACAGCAGCTCGGGCTCTCTTGGAGTGGCCTGCTTTTCTAGCAGCTCAGTGGCACTTATTGTGTAAGGAAGTGTGGCTGGCTCTTCTTTTTTCTCCTCCAGGTTGCCATAGCTGAACTCTTGCAGGTTTCGGTAATAGGCTACTGGGTCTCCCTCCTTTTGCATGTAGATGGGATTTTGGCACATCTGACCCACAGGTGGGGGGATATAATTATAGACGTGACCATCTGTTTTATCATGAGTCTCGGTGTTGTAGGACCCATACTGTAATTGAAAGGAACTTACGTCTAAGTTGTTGGCATTTCTGGGAACACTTGGCACTCCCTTTCGGCGTTTCAGGACAAAGACGAATAAACCGGCCCCAAAACAGACTGATAAGATGAAAACAACAAGCAGTCCTAAAATTAAGACAGAAAGTGGAACTTCAGTATGTAGCTCAGGATAGGAACTGGGAGACACACTAAGCGACCGAGGTGTGTCTGTGTTGTGATTCATTGACAAGATGGTTCCATCTGACAAGTTTGGACTATCTGGACAAATAGCTTCCCTCCCCAGAAACTTCAGTATCTCCCCTGCATGCTTAGCGGGAGATTCACAGGTCACCTCATTGATGATGACAGGGGAATTGGCATGTTCTGTCCAGTCCTTTAGTCCCATGATATCACAGGTGCAGTCCCATGGGTTCTCTTGCAGATCTATCTGGATAAAAGCCGGGAGCTGATCCAGGACCCCTTTCACAGGCAAATGAGAAAAATGGTTGTTTCTCAGATTCAGCCTGGTGAGGGCTGTGCCCCCAAATATATTATCAGGTAAGGACCGCAGTAGATTGTTATTCAGAAAGAGTAGCTGTAGGTTAATCAAAGCATCAAAGGTCAGCGGCTTAATTTCCTTAATGACATTATACTCTAAATAGAGATATTGCAAGCTCTGCAGTCCATCAAACATAGAAGGATACAGCACTTCAAGGTAATTGCCATTCAGATACAGTCTGCGTAAACTGGTCAGATTTGAGAAGGCACCTTCCTGAATGACTGCAATCCTGTTATTTCCTAAATGCAACAGATCCAAAGAACTGTATTCTAAGAGGTCATTCTTATAGACAGTTTGAAGATAGTTCCCTGTTAGGTAGAGTTTCTTTGGACTGGTAGGTTTGGGCTGCAGGTCAGAGATATTAGTGAACTTCCTTTCTTGGCAGTTTACATTTAGACCATTGTCTGAGCTCTGAGAGGTACAGACGCAGCTACTGGGACAGGTGAGGGGCACAGGGGACTTGGTTTGGTACACCATGATTGGTCCAAAGCTCTGCCTGTCCTTTGACACAGTCACTCGGGGAGTTGGACGATTTCTCATTTTGGGTGGCCGGCTGGCTTTTGGAGCCCTGGTTGGGTTGAGAGCAGGATTCACTGTAGGTGACAGCCTTTGGATGTGTGTGTCAGCATGGCTGCCCCTTTGACTGGAGTCACTGGCACTTTTTCTGGGACAGAGGTCTTGCCTGGTCAGTTGTGTCACATCTTTCCCATGTAACCTAAAGGGAGTTTCACAGACAATCTCTCCCACAAAAACAGTTATGGTGTCCAGCCAAGCCTTGAGAGGAAGTAAGTCGCAAGTGCAATTCCATGGGTTTTCCTCCAGCTGAATCTCCATGATCCCTCCGATATGTTCAAGGACACCAGCGAAAGGCATTACTTTTAGCCTATTCCCCCTCAGGTCTAAATGGGTCAGCAGGACGAAGCGGAACACATTGCTGGGCAGCGACAGCAGGAGGTTGTCATTCAGGATGAGCACTTTGAGCTTATTAAGTTTGCTGAATGCCCCTGCCTCGATGGCACTGATGTAATTGTAGTCAGCCTGGAGGTATTCCAGGCTCTCCAGGCCCAGGAAGGTGTCCTCTCTCAACACCTCGAGCTTGTTGTTGTTGAGGTGCAGTCTCTTGAGGGTTTTCAGGCCACTGAATGCCCCTGTTCGGATCTCCGCGAGCCCGTTGTTACCTAGGTGAAGTGTCACCGCGTTAGAGTAATTGACGAATTCGTTTGGGTATAGTCTTGTCAAGAGGTTTCCATTGAGAAAAAGCTGATAGATTCGATACTGGGGGGGCTGGAGTAGGCTAACAGTTGTAAATCCTTTGTTTTCACAGTTAATATTCAGTACGTTTTCCTTCTCCTCACACAGGCAGCGGATCTTGCAAATGTCTTTGGCAGTTTTGCGACTCTCCGTCTGTAAGATCCCGGCCACGGTTAACACACTGAGGAACCAAACGCCGCTCAGCATCTTTAGGCACCTTGGTGTCAGCTCAGGTACCTACAGGCAAACCTTGGGTGGGGGGCGAGAGGAGGAAGCGGGATGCAGGGAAGAAAGAAACAAGGAAGCCCGATTAAAATGGCAAAGCCAGGAGGCGGAGTGGGAGGGAGGGAGAATGAGGGGGTGGGCAACACGGCAGAATGAAATCACTGTTTTTCAAAGCGGTTTTTTCTCTCCTTTCCTTACCCGCTTTCCCAACCCCCCTAGCCCACCCACACGCGCGTCCCAGAACACATATGCTTGCACCTGATTTCCCGGCAGGTCGCAGCCAGCCCCGGAGTCATTTAGTAACCGAGTTGTCCTACTAAATCCAGCCCATCTCCTTCTCCCCTGGGGTATCTCGAAGAGATCTCGGGCGGCTTGCCCGTCTTGGGTTCCCAGCAGAAATGGCTTTACTTTTTTTTTTTTTTTTTTAACTGCGCAAAAAGGGGGTGGGAAAATCAGGAATCAGGGGACTGGCGGCGGGGGTGGAGATGGCAAAGACAGCGCGGGGTGGGGGGTACTCACACATCAGGAGAAGACGGGACCCCCCTCCTCTGCAGTCCACCAGGAGTTTAGCATCTTCAGGAAGAGAGGGAGAGCAAGGTAAAAGAAGACGCCGCTTCCAGGGGGGATGCCCTGCTTTTTGTTGGTTGCTTTAATTTGGTGGTGGTGGTGGGGGGGGGGGGGGTGAGCAGAAATTAAAAATCCAGCAGAAGGCAGGAGAGGAAGAGGAAAGTTGGAGCGGAGGGCAGCTGTGCCGCCAGGGGCTGGGGTGCGAATGCGTAGGGAGGTCGGGGAGCGGGCCGGCCCGGTCGGCGGGCGGCGGCGACGGCGGAGCCTGGGCGCGCGTTTCCAATCCGGTGGCGGCGGCAGCAGTGCGTCTAGCAGTTTGAATTTGAGAGGCTTTGCAGGCTCCCAGGGACAGGGCTAGGGTGACGTCACGGGGGAGGGGGCGGGAAGAGGATCGAGGGCGCGCGGTGGGGGAGGGTGGGGCAGATGCTTTCCTTCCTTGCTAGTGGCTTTGCAATGCTAAATTCCCGGCTGCGTCAGTTGGCTCGGAACTACTCTACCTCCAACCTGGCTGGCGCTGGGAGAAGCTCCGGAGGGGGGTTTCTTAAGGAGGGGCCCCGCTAAGAGGCAGACACCTCCCGGACTCCTCAGACCCCTCTGAGTGGTCTCTTTTACTTACCCCTTCCGCCCGCACCTACACGTTGCACATGAGCTGTGACCTGCTCATTCAAGGGGCGTCTTAGCCTAGATTCCCAAGCAGAAGTCCAGACCCTCCCGGGAGAAGATTTGTGCGTGTGTGTGAGTGTGTGAGTGTGTGTGTGTGTGTGTGTGTGTGTGTGTGTGCGCGCGCGTGCCTTTTTGTTACAGGACTGGTGCCCGCTTGCCAGCTCCTAGCTCAGATGTTCTCAGTGCGGAGAGTGGGGTGTGTGTGCGCACCAGTGTGTCTGTGTAGGAGGGCGAGGAGTTCTCTTAGGGGATTTATGCTTTACATACAGAGCCTCGCTTCAGTGCCGAGAGAATTCCTTTCTGGGTGGTGACCGGCCAAATAGATGTATGCCTGGACTCTGAAAGCCAGCTCAGCGTTTGTTTACAGATCGAAATAAACAAAAACAAACCCCTTCTCCCCCTGAAGTTTATACTTAGCCAGATAATGAGGTTTAAACGTGTGCTTTTTGCCTGGAGGAAGGAGAGGAGAAGTGGGTGTCAGAAAAGCACTGCCAGGCTGAGCTTCAGCTGGGAGTGGGAGCCTAGGGAAGGGTGGTTGAGCCCTCCAGGCTGCAGGGGCAGGAGAACTGGAAAAAAACAGAGAAAGACTGTTCTGGAAGACTGACTCCTAAGAAGTAAGGAGAGGTAAAAGGAGTCCAGACCTGAGACCCAGCTGGCCTGGGTTCTCCTCTAGCTCAGTTGCCAGGTGTGTCACTAGTTTCTGCATCTTCCTGTCTCCATCTGCAAAAGGGAGCAGACTTACGTGGCCCTCCTAGCTCTGACATCCAATTTGGATTCAAATAACCTTTTCAGAGCAACACTGATAAGTCAGGTGTTGGATTTTTTGCCTTCATTATGTCTTTTCTCCTTAATTATCTTACAGCCCCCCTGGACCCAAGAGTCTCGCACAGTGAAGTCCATTTGCAAGGTGTGAATAATGTCTGCTAGTGCCTGGAAAGGCCTTGGGCTGCCTCTGGTGGGAAGGAGGGAGAAGAGTCAGGAAGAAGACGGGGTAAAATACCATGGGAAGATGAACTGACCAAACAATGTGACTGTCCCACCAAACACCAGCTTGCTTTCCCTTTAGTTCAGACCTGCTTTAGAGAGTCAGCACAATGTCCCATTGCCTGGCCAAATGCATAAGAGACAACTACACAGACAAAATGAGCCATTTGAGGATGGAAAGCCCTCTGCTTCTCCCTTCCTCCTTTCCGGTTAAGCCTAGGTCCTAGGATTGTTCCACTTATCTTCCTCCCCAAGAAGGGTTGGGGTAATTGATAAACTCAGGCACTAAGGCAACCTGTGGCTCTGGTACGCTTCTGTGCATCTTTCTCAGTGTTCTCCCTTCCTCCTCCTTCTCCTTACAAGTAATGCTTTGGACCGGCGTCGGGAGCTTTTTCCCCCCATAATTTTTGCTTGGCCTTTAGCAAAATACTTTCATTCTTGAGCCTCAACATTTTTCTTTATGCCATAGGACAACCTTGAGTTGAGGGGTCCTGAAGGAAGGGGACAGCCCTGTGGATGACCTACCACTCTATTGCAATTGCGTCAGTAGATGTAAGCAGACTGATGCAGTGTGAGCACAATTAGGCTTCCTTTCCTAGCAAAGGGGACATTTGTTTCTACGAATTTCCAAATATTAAAAGTACATATTTCCTAGAGAGATAAGGTTTATTCATTCAGTCACTCATTCCACAAACATTTATTAATTAGGTTGATATTTTTATTGTAGAAGCCAATGTGAGAACTGGACAAGACCTTAGAAATCAGGTTCATTTTACAGATGAGGTCATTCCTCAACCAGGGGAAGTGCTGACTTACTTAAGCTCAAGAAACTACAATTACAAACAGAAGCCAGGGATTCTGAGTCCCAGTCCAGCAGCTTTCCAAAAAACACACTACTGCTTAATATGAATTAGAAAAGAACTAACTACCTGAACTTAACTATTGATAGTGGTATTTTTCCTAAATGTGTTTTTTAATTGTATTTTTAAAGTGAATATTAACTACTAGTTTTAGTTTTCAAATGCAGTAATTTCCTTCAAGACATTGAAGACATTAATTTTCCTAGGAGTTTCAAAGAGGGGGAGAAAGAAGAAAGAGATTGAGAGAGAAGGGTGGGGGGCTGAGGACTCTTGAAATCTGGACACTTACAGAATCAGAGAAATGCGTGGTAAACTAGCCCAGGAGAGCTACACAGAGGAGCCCGAGGTGGTGTGGCGGGTCTTCCTCCCTGGTTAGCTTCCTACACGGTTTGGTTGACCCTTCCACCTCTACCTTCGTCTCCTGCCTGTCCCTGAGCGTTCACAGCCGCTTTCAGAAACATAGTTATTAGGAACAAATCAGCTTCAAACCGGATAAGCACTTTAAGTAAGTTTCATTGGCCCCAGTGTCTCGGGAGAAACCGACACAACACCCCGCTAAGGGAAAGCGGGCTTTTAAGGTGGTGGAAAGGTTCAGGGTGAACCCGGAGCCCAAGGGAGGCAGAGGCGGACACTAAAATAAGGCAAACGCTCCCTCTTCTCGCGGAGGCGAGGGAGGCTTAAACAAGGACTCCGTCGCCTCAGTCTCACTCGCACTCTAACCGAATAGAGCCTGGCTCCAGCCTGGCGTCGCCAAAGCTTCCGCAGGACGCGGTGGGTGCCAGTGGGCTTGCAGCCCACCTCCATCCCGGCCGCCCGTCAGGCCACGAGGGGGTTAAGAGGAGTCCGGCAGGCCCGAGAGCCGGCACCGCCTGCCCACAGTCCCCTTCTCTGTACACTCGCCCGCAGCCCCGATCGAATTCTATTTTGCAAGGACTCCTCCCGGAGATCGGGGGTCTTGGAGAGTCCCCCGTCGCCAGGAACCTGGCACTGGCTGCTAGCGCAGCCCTGCCTTTCCCTCCCCCTAGCTGCTAGACCCCTAGTGCCCCGCGCGCGGTTGTACAGCCGCGACGGCCAGTCGCGCTGCCCTCGCCCCGGGGCTTGGGCACCACGAGCCGATTGAAGCCGGCTAGCGATCGGGAACTCTCACCAGGTGCGTGGACTTCCCCAGGCAGCGTTGGCCACGGGGCTTGCCGACGCGCGGAGCCCGACCACGCCCGCGCGGACGGTCCCGGGGCGAGCAAGCCTCGGTGGGGATTGAGGAGAGAGGGCGGCCGCCAGTGCGCAGCCCTCGGCGGATCGCGCCTAGCCTCCCCACACCCGTCTCCCCCTCGAGGGGAGGCGGCCGGGAAAGGCCACTGGCTGAGAGAAGCCAGCCGGCCGGTCGCGCCGCCACGGCGTCCCCGAGTGCTCAGAACTTACCGAGCGAGCGCGCAGCCCGGATCTTCTCCCGGAGACGCCCGCAGCATCTGCGACTCGGGGAGGCGCAGGAGCCGGCACAGCCTGGGACTGGAGCGGCCCGGGAGCGAGGGCTCGGCGGGGAACGCGGGCGGCGCCCCCAGGGCAGGCAGATCCCCACTGGAGCGGCTCGGCTCGCCAGCGGGCAACGCTTCTGGCAAGGAGGGAGAGAGCCGAGAGGGAGGAGGGAAGCAGAGCGGGAGGGAGGAGAGGGGAAGGAGGGAAGGTGGGAGGGACAGCGGCCCCTCTCCCGCACTTATCAATCACCCTGCAGATCAAATGTCCCCGCTGTGCGCCCGGGAGGGGGATGTACCAGCCCACAAAGGAGCCGCTGCTCCATTTCTTTGACAAGCGCTGCGGAGCGCTGCTCACGCCTCTCGGCCCCTCTCTCCTGGAACTCTGCCCAGCCCTTGCAGCTTCTACCGTGGGCTGCTGCTCGGAGTCGGTCAAGTGAAATAAGGATGGCACTCGGTCGGTACCATAGCCGAGGGGAGACTAGGACCACTGGGTGGAAGTTACAGATAAGTGAAAGAGCAGCCAGGCGTCCGAGCTGGACACCCTCCGGGACCGCTGCTTCCCCTAACTAGTAGGCGCCCAATCATTGGAGTTCCCAGGCACATATTTAAGGACCTCCTACGAGGATGGTAAACAAGGAATTTCCATATAATATGGAGCTGAGCTAGACTTGTGCAAATGTTTTCACAAAGCAAGCGTTCCAGTTCCCGTTTTAACATTTATTCTTTTGGTTCTTCACAACGTTACCTAAATCTGCTAGAGCGTTCTTTTTGCCGTCCTCCCTTCTTTTTCCTCCCTTCTTCTTCCTCTTATTAGTAGTCCAGGTGGTTGTCATTCCATTAAAGGAAGGCACTCGGCGAAAGAGGCAATGTAGTTCAAGAGGGAAGTGAGGTTTTCGCCAAAAGCATTCCTCTCCTTCACTCTTCCAGAGTATTCGAGATAAAGTTGCAGTTTTATTAATTTATGCCACGAGAAGGGAGCTCGTTTGATCACACCAAGGCATTTCCCCCTCAATCCTAGAGGCGAGTGGCCTTAATTAAAATCGTCACCACCCCCTGTTCTTTTCATCCCCGCTACTGAGTCTGTAAAGCCCCACATCCTTTGGAATATCCAAAAGATTGTAGGGAAGAACAGAAAGGGAGACGAGGAGAGGAGTGCAAAATTAGAGCAAAAATTACCTCTCGGCTAATGAATCTGCACTGAGATTTGTCTGTTTTCAAGGTTATTTCCCACACACTGAAACCAGGTTCTCACAGCATTGACTTCCACCTCATTCTTGTCCTTACCCCTGGACTCTTTTGTGCTCTTCCTTTCTTCTCTTCTTGGCTTTCTTTCATAATGGTTTTCTAAGGAATCTATGCTGAACCTTTTAAAAAGAAAACTATGGCTAATCTTATATTATGAACATGTACAGAGTTCACTTTGGTAATAGTCCAAAGAATTATCTTAGAATCATATCTCTGGGGTTTTAAGGGTCATTACTGTTCCTTTTACTTCATTCTTGAGAAAGGCTTTTGGAAATTCTCCTACCATTCAGATAAGCAATGTCAAAATAACATAACTCTCACATATGCACATGAGCAGGCTATTTACAGTTACATATTCAGAAACATTGCTCTTTTAAAAAAAATATCCACATTAGTGTAAAGTATCCAAAGCGCTGTTTGCTACAAACTACAGCAGCAGCTTGGGCACATCTTATTATTACTGACTGAGGTCAGTTAATACTGTTACTTCTCTGTCTTTACCTCATTTCTGACTGTGTCATCTTTTCATGTAGTTATTTAATGGGTGCTATAAACAACCACAAAACACAGAGCTAAGAGGCCATTCAAACGCAGAAATAATGAGACAGTCATGCTGACAAAAAGGAGACAGTTTACTGAAAAGGGTGGTATGTCTCTAGTCAAAGGAACACACAAAAGCAATAACTTGTATACAGATTAGATGAGAAACATGGCATCAATGATAAAAACCGATATTTTATTTAGATCCAGTAGAAACATGTAATATATGGCATGCATCAATTTTAATTAGCTTTGTAAGCAAGTCTAACATGCTCACCAGCCTTCAGAAAGCATTTAACAACCTGCCTTTCCACATGGGGCCACACTGATAGTAAGATAAAATTTAAAAGAGCAGACTTTTCTTTTTGTCAGCATAAAATTTTCAAGTAGGTGGGTAGCTATTTCGAAGGGTGCCCTGAATGCACAGACACACACACACACACACAAATGATGAGCAATACAGAACTTTCTATGAGGGTTTTTACATATATAATTAAAGTAGAGGAGAGCTTGAAGTGTGTGAAAAATTTAAATATGCCAATGTATTTGAAGATTTCTTTATATTGACTTTTCTAAAAGTTTCTGTGTTAGGGGAAAATTTCCAAATATAACAACATCCAAAACACCCACATTAATGTATTTTTGTTAATTAATAAAAATTACATTATCAATTCATTCATGTAGCAGTATTGTAAATGTATCTCTACATTTTTGTGTCATTCTCTGTTGTACAGTTCATGTTATTAAAAAGCTTAGAGATCCCTGATTGCTATGATAGTAGGAAAGTAGAGAAATAAAATTTAATTTGGCCTGGGTTTTTGTAATTTTGTTCTAAGATTAGAAGAAAACCAGAAATTTCATCTAGGATGAATGGGGGGAAAAGTGTGTATGCTTCTAAAATGATGCATTAGTACATAGCTTACCTGAGAATGTTGTTTCTCCACCTTCTCCACACCTATCCAGAACTAGAAAGTTTTAAAACATAAAAAATAAGACAAAGTAGGAACCCTGTGCAAAGTCAGTAATTATAAGGCAGATGTGCTGCATTTCCAGTGAGTTCTGTCCCTCTTGAACCAAAGTTCAAAGAAGAGTTCCACAGAACAAATTCCTAAATAAAGAACTGCAACATAAAGAGGACATGCCCTTAATACCAGTAATTATAGTTTAAAGGATACTGTAGACTTTAGTTCCTGATGCTATCGAAAGAGTGGATATTTTTCAATTCAATTCAATTATTTTGATTATTTTGGCAGACATTTTGGCTTAGTTGGAATAGTGCTGGGCTAGGACACAGAGCAGTTTGTCTTTCAATCAAACAAATATCCAAGCCCTTGCAGTCCCGTAATCTGAGTTCAAATCCTGCCCCTGCTACTACCTCACAGTGAGACCAGAACAGGCACTGCACCTCTTTCAGTTTCACAATGTGTAAAACTGGCACCTGCGACGTGGAGTCAGTAAGAATGAGGTGTATACAGACCACTTGAAAACTGTGTGATGTGGTGCACATATGTGCAGCGTAATCTTAAACTGAAAAATTCCTAAACTAACTTCTTAAAATAAATAAAACATTTTATATTTGTTTTCTATGTTTCGCACTCCAATCCTCACTAGGTAAGTATAATTATCCAGACTTTACAAAAGAAGAAAGGGAGACTCAGAAAATTCAAGTAACTTGCCCATACTCGTACTCATATCTTGGTTAATTGGTAAATGGTTGATTTTAGTCAGAAAGTAATATTTTAATGTAAGATAGATATTAGAATCAGGGCTAGAAAAATATTTTATGATGCCAGTTGGAGCTATGTAATGTCAAACATTCAAAAGAAAACTTTAAAAATTCCATATTCTTTTCCAAATATTTTTTGAAATTGTCAGAGACATGTATATATCGGGGCTCTACCTTGACACTACTGACATATTGGGCCAGAGGATTATTTGTCGTGGACTGTTATGTGCATTGTAGGAGGATTAGCAATATCCTTGGCAGCATAAATATGTGCATAGATTATATGTGTATGTGTATACACACCTTACTTTTATTTAGCACTGTAAACAACCTGAAGGAGCATAAGGCACACTATGACTCAGTGACAGAGCAAGAGCAGGATCCCAGGCTGCCTGATACACTGCTTTGTAAACTACAACACTCTGCAACCTGCCACCTCTTATGCCCCAAGTACTATCAGTGGAGGCAGGCAGTGCATCCTGGTGTAGCTCCTCAGGAAGAAATATATTTTACATCATGACTCAGAGCAGAGTCAAGGATTGAGAAGCGATTTTTCTGAAACAATATTATCCTTGTCATAGCCCTGCACCCTGGAATATGCTATTGTAGTTGATTTTTTAAATGGCTGGCTGTGGCTCACTAGATTGCATCTCACAGTTTGAATAACACTGGCACACTGGATTGAGCAGAAAAGGAAGGAAAATAGGACAGAAAAGAGAAAAGGGGCAGTAGCGGGGAGGGGAATAACAGAACTAGAGGGAGAAAAAATGCACATGGTACAAAGTTATAGAAAAACTTATGGTGCTCAACCAGTTATATCAAGTGCTATTTATCAATGGCACCTGTTCTCTAAAGGTTCTAGAACTCTCACATTGTTGTTCGAGTCCAGTGATTTATCAGTAAAAACCACATTTAAGATTACTGAACTTGGGAGTACATATACATGGCAGAAGCCACAGATTTTACAGATAAGACTTAGGACAGCCTTAGTGGGTATTTCATTTATCCTGACACATTCTAGCTTATTAATCTCACTGCAGCTGGAAGTTATATTTTGGTCTGGAGTTACAACCTAATGTGTTCAGGAGGAAAGCAAATTTATTGGGTTTGACATTGTACTTTATTGGAATGGTATAATGCAGTTGAGCCTCTGTACTAAGTTCTGTTGATTTTATTTATGTATTTATGTTTGGCTAGTATAAATATATGGTAAAGTATGTGCTGTGGTAGAGAGTTTAATGCTGACTCTGCCAGAACATTCAAAAATGTCTGCATGCAAGATGCCCAGTTCTAAAGAGTTATAGCCAGAAGAGCAGCTACTAAGGATTTGCATTAAGTATTTCTGATTTTTTAAAATGTCATCATTTGTGAAGAGGACTAGTCTATTAATATTTAAAAATGGCAAGGATGACACATTCCTGATCTACCCTGAAGTTGTAATTTGTACAAAATGAAGCAGGGTTTAGAAATTGTGAGTTCAGAGGGGAGGTAAGATCTACAATGTAAATAAAATCGTTTCTAAGTAATAGTTGAATGTAGCATTCAAACATCATTGCAAATCAGTGAGGGGAGAATAGATTTTTTTTTAACCTCAAATCCTGATGACTTATTACTCAGATGTGATATCAGTTCCTTTCTTTT